CGCACACGCACACACACACGCACACGCACACGCACACGCACACACACACGCCACACAACACACACACACAAACACACACACAAGACACAACACACACACACGCGACACAACACACACACAGAACACAGACACAGACACAGACACAGACCACAGACACACACACACACAACACAACAACACACAACACACACATGCACACACAACACACACACAGCACTCACGCACGCACGCACACACTCACACACACACACACACACACACACACAACACACACACACACACACACACACACCACACACAGACACACACACAACACACACACACACACTACACACGCGCGCGCCCGCAAACCGCAGTCTGGGCGGCCTCAGGCCCCACAGGGGCCGGTGCACCCGCAGGTGGCGTTGAGTCCAGGCTGCCGAAGGGTCGGGTGCTGCTAGAGTACCCCTATGGACAAGGTGATGAGCCTGTTTCCACCACCACCACCACCATAAGTTGGAGGGGGGAAGGAGGAGGAGGGCGAGGAGGAGGAGGAGGAGGACGAACAGGAGGAGGAGGAGGAGGAGGAGGAGGAGGAGGAGGAGGAGGAGGAGGAGGAGGAGGAGGAGGAGGACCCCCCCCTCCAACTTATGGTGGTGGTGGAAAACACGCCCATCACAAGGTTCCCCCTGGGTTTCCAAGGAGGCCCCCACGGCCTCCAGAGATCGAATGGGGGATCGGCTCCAGAATTGATTTGTGCCCGAGGCTAGGTTTGCCCGTCGAATCTGCGAACAATGCGCAGACTGGCTGTCGGATCGACGAGCGGTCTACGCCTTTTTGTTGGCAGATTCGAAGGGCCATCTTTTTTGAAGCAAGTCAATTGATGGGCCTGTTGTCCACCACCACCCCGATAAGTTGGAGGGGGAGGGGGTCCTCCTCCTCCTCCTCCTCCTCCTCCTCCTCCTCGACCTCCTCCTCCTTCTCCTCCTCCTCCTCCTCTTCGTCCTCCTCCTCCTGCCCCCCTCCAACTTAGAAGAGGGCCCCCAGGGGCTCCAGAACGCAGCGAGAAAAGCTGGGGGCACCTCGGGCCAGGGGCCCTGTCGGCAGCCCCCAGTATGACCCAGACCCCCGACGACTTGATCTTCTTTTTTTTCATGACGTCGACCCCCAAAGATCTCGACCCATTCCCCGGGACAGGAGGTTTCTCATCCTGGTTCGTTTTCTGACGGTCCCGGGGCCCGGCTAGGGCCCCCAGAGGCCGAAAATAGCGAAAAGCCTCCCGTCGTGATCTTTTCTCAGCGCGAGGGGGTCTGGGGATGGAGGTGGCAATCGTAGTCGAGGTGGGTGGTGGTAATGGCTGTGGTGGCGCCGGGAGCCGCTGGAGAGAGGCGAGGCGTCCGCTGCTCGGGGCGGCAGGCAGAGGTGCCGCGCTTAATTACCCCGATTAAGGCGGCCCTCGAGGGCTCCAGGAGGACCCCAGGGGGCCTCCTCCTCCTTCTCCTCCTCCTCCTCCTCCTCCTCCTCCTCCTCCTCCGCCTCTTCCGCTCTCCTCCTCCTCCTCCTCCTCGCGTCTTCCTCCTCCTGTCTTCCTCCTCCTCCCTCCTCCTCCTCCTCCTCCTCCTCCTCCTCCTCCTCCTCCTCCTACCCAGACCCCCTCGGGCAGTGAGAAAAGCACGACGGGAGTTCCGAATTTTCGGCCTCTGGGGGCCCTCGCCGGACCTCGGGACCGTCGAGAAACGACCCGGGATGAGAAACCGGTCCCGGGGGGGAAGGGGTGGGTACCTCTGGGGGCCAGAACCAGAAGGCGACGGCCCTACCCTTGGGTCGGGCGTGTCCTCCTGCAGGCGGATTTTGGACGAACAAATGCCCCGAACATGCTCGTCAACTGTGCGAAAGATCATCGAAACCTCGCCCCCACAGCACTTGTTGACTGTTGTTGGGTATCCCTCCTGCAGAGGGGCACGCCCGACTTCACCCTCTGCCCCGCCCCCGGTCCCTGGGTGCGTGGCCGCTGCGGGCGCCCGCGGTGCAGCCTCGATGACGCCCGGGGGCCTGGGGAGGCGGCCTCCGAGGGCGCCCCGCCCCCATGGGCGGCCAGAGGCGCGCCCGGAGAGATGGCCCCGGGCGCCCCCCACAAAGACCACCCACTTGGATCGCCGCGGTGGTTGCCAAGGGGATTGGGCGGGTTAGAATCGGATGCCAAAGTAGGTTGTACCGAACCAAGCCCAGCTGAGAAGCGGGTTGCACGTGCCCTAAGTGGCCTACGGGCGCACAGATCTGGGCTGAGTGGGCGGAGCCCACTCAGCGGAGTGACCTCATCATCCTAAGCCACATAGGGCACGTGTAACCCACCTATAAGTTGGATTAGGCCAGATAAAACCCACTTTAGCATCCACGTCTAACCTCTCCACCCCCTTAGCAACCATCGCGGGGATCCAAGCAGGAAAAGAGGCTTCCACGAGGCCCCCCCGGGAGGCACGAGCCGCCGACGCTCGACGCTCTGCGGGCGTGCTCCCCGCGAGGCGAGAGGACTCGGGCGGCCAGGGCAGTCGGCGGTCGTCGTGCTGTGTGGCCCGCCGCTCCTGGCAGTAGCCAGAGAAATCCGGCGCTGCGCCAAGAATCGGAGCGGGCGGCTCTGGGCTGCTTTCGGCCTCCAGGGGCCCTCGCCGGCCAGGCCGCGGAGCTGTCTACAGAAGCGACTCAGGGCCAAACACGGGCCCTCTGGGGAAGTGGTCCAGACCGCAGGGGCCCACGCATCCCCAAAAAATGGAGCGGTCGGTTGTTTGGGAGCCGGAACACGACGCCAGAGGGATACAGTCGGGTTGGGGTAGCTGAAATAAGGAAGGCTGGATCAGGAACGAAGCCCCTTGTTGGCCCCAAGAGTGCCTGCGTAAATGAGGAGGGCTAGAGGAGCAGCCATGGAAGGACCTCAGGAACATCGAACCCCCTGCGAACACAAACTGTTCCTTCGATAATCTTGAAGACATCAGTCACGTGAGCGACGAAGCAAGAGCCGCCTACTACTAGTCATATTCGCACCAATAACACCAATAATCGAAATACTAATCATAACACGAAGAACCTTACGAATTATCATTGAATCACTGATACTAATACTACTAATACTCAAACGAACGACAATAATTCTGTTACTTATATTACTGCTACGAATACGATTAATAATAGCAATAATAAGAATCAGAAGAAGAAGAGGAAGAAGAAAACAAAAAGACGAGGCACCCGCTTGTTGGCCGCGCTACCCCCCGAAGGGCTAGCTGACAGCCTGCCGCCCGCCATCGCGGCGCCACCGTATCTGCAATCGATGTGAGAGAGCCCACGGAGCCGAGCGAGGCGGAAGACCTGCACTATAGAGCACCAAGGAGGAGAAGTCCTGCGTCCTGCCCCGCGCACCCCCGCGGCCTCCGCTGGCTTCCGCCAGCGGAGCTGCCTCCGATCCACAGTCGGAGCTCGACCACAAGACACAAGAAACCCGGCCCTGAGACCCCACGACATCCGTCGGTTTTTGGTGTGGGAACGTCACGCTCTCAATAGCAAGACCATCGAAGCCCAGGAAACCCAAGGCACCCTGGAGGCAAACAGGGTGATTCTTGGCAAGGGTTTCCGCTGTATTTTCGGGTCGGGCGAAATTGGGGGATAGCAAAGGGGAGGTTTGAGAATCAGCTCACGGAGCTGATTTTCCCGGCGCCTCCCGGCGCCGGAGGCGGCAATGTATCGAGGAACGGGCTCCTCGGCGAGGCCGAAACCAGCTGCATGCAGCAGAATTCGTAACCCCTCCTTTCCCAATCCCCCCCTTTCGTCTGGCCCGATACTTCCGCTGGCATCCGCCGGCCTTCTCCGGCGAGAAAGAGAGGCCATCGACTCCGCGTCGGGCCCCCTCGAAGGCGAGGCCCCCTCTGGAGCGCGCCCCGCGCGGAAGCGATAGGGCGCCTGCGCGCGCTCAGCCTCGTGCTCGGTCCTTCTAATTCGGAGGTTGCCGCCTGGTTTTCGGGTCAGCACCTTCGATGCACTCACCGTTATCCAGCCTCGAACGTATCCCTATCCCTAAGATTAACCAGCCAGAAGTCGACGACAATCTTAGGGATGCGCTCTCAGAAACGGAGGGAATCCCTAAGATCGGCATCGAGATGAGGCGATGCCAATCATAGGGATAGGGATATGTTCCAGGCTGGTGACACATTTCTGTTCAGAAACCTGTGATTCAGAGATCGGGACCCAGCTTCGCTGAATGTCCTAACCTCTCGCGAGAGCCAGCTTTGGAAACGAACTTTCCTGAGGCAGCGCGGCGCCCGTCTTGGTGGCTGCGATAAGGAATGCGCTGGTGATTGTGCCGAATGTAAGCTGTACCAACGATGCCACGTTTCCGATCAGCGGCCCCAGGGCTTCGGACCCCATTGACCGGGAGCAGCTTTTCGCCTTGGATCCACTATGGATGGTCCCGAGGCCCGACATCGGCGGTGGACAAACCTCCCTTTAGTAAACCACCCTTCAGTGAAAACGGCCTGGAACCGAAACCGGCGTACCTGCACCCGCAAAAATGACGGCCGCGACGCCCTCTCGCGAACTGACAACGGCCCATTCGCTGATCGACGTGTCAGGGCCTAGGAGGTCCATCAGCCTCCGACGATGGCTGGCCCCGGAGACCGATTTCGAAGAACAGCAAAAGACCCGATGGAATCTAAGTCACGTCGTCGGGGCTCCTCGTCTGGCTTTCCATGGCCCGCAGCTCGGGCCCCCCGCGGCGCACGAGACCGGCGCCCCCGAGTAGCGCCCTCGGCGAGGCGCAGCTGCCGGGAGGCGCCCCCGGCCGAGGCCGAGAGGACAGGAGACCCCTCGAGGAGCCCGCGAGGGCCTCCGACAAAAGAGCCTCGTCGCGAGGCCGCCGCCGTCGTGCGGTCACGGCGGCGCCGCCCGCGCGCGGCGGCAGCGGGCGGCCGGCGGCGGCGCCGTCGCGCCGCGTCGGCGTCGTGCCGCGGCGGGCGGCGGGCGGCGGGCGGCTCGGCCTGCTGCTCGGCCGCCCGCGCGGCGGGGCAGAGGAGCAGCGCCAGCGCGAGGCGCGCGGCCTGCAGGGCCGGAGCGGCCGGAGCCGGGTCGGGGATGGGTCTTCGGAGGGAGGGGGATGGAGGATTCGGGGGGAGGGGGATCGCTGGGGGAGGGGGGGATCGGTCCAGGAGGAGGAGGAGGCGGAGGAGGAGGAGGAGGAGGAGGAGGAGGATAATCGTGGTTCGAGGCTCGATGGGGGGTCGAGAAGGAAAAGGAGGACCGAGGAGAAGGAGGAGGAGGAGGAGGAGGAGGAGGAGGAAGAGGAATAGGAGGAGGGAGGAGGAGGAGGAGGAGCGAGGAGGAGGACGAGGAGGGAGGAGGAGGAGGGAGGAGAGGAGGAGGAGGAGGAGGAGGAGGATCTAGGGGTGTCGAGGAGGGGGATCGAAGAAGGGAGGAGGAGGATCGAGGATCCAGGATCGAGGAGGAGGAGAGGAGGCGGAGGACCGCGATGGGGCTCGGCTGTGGTCGGCAGCCCAGCCAGGCCGGGCCGGGCCGCGAGATCGGGCCGGGCCGGGCAGAGGCAGCGCCACGGCGAAGAAAAACCGCACATGGGCACTGCCGACGCGCACGGGCAGCGCCGCCGTGGCCGCACGACGGCGCCGACGTGGCCTCGCGACAACGACGGCGAGGACCAGGACAGGGCGGGGAGGGGCCCTCGCGCCTCGGGGTGCTTCCCAGCAAGAGGCATCTGGCATTTCTGCTCGCCCTGTTCCTCCTGCTCCTCCACCTCCTCCTCCTCCTCCTCCTCCTCCTCCTCTCCTCCTCCTCCTCCTGCTCCTGCTCCTGCCTGCCTCCTCCTCTCCTCGCCTCCTCCTCCGCCTCCTCCTCCTGCTCCTCCTGTTCCTCCTGCTCCTCCTCCTCCTCCTCCTCCTCCTCCTCCTCCGCCTGCTCCTCCTCCGCCTGCTCCTCCGGCCCGAGCTGCGGAGCCCCGACGAACAGACGACAATCTCCGACGACGTGGCTTATGCCATCGGCGAGGAGGAGATGCTAACCTGCCCCCCTCCCCGAAGGCGAAGCCCTTTGTGCCCCCTTCCCCCCTCCCCCATCGCGGCCTTGGCTGTGTGTGGGGTTGAAGTACAAGGGCACAGAACCCCTGGTCCGTTGGTAGAGAGATGGAGGGATAGATGGATATCTTTCCCTCCCACGCGATCAAGGTACGATCGCTCCAACTCAGTACCTGAGCCCAAACGGCCAGGTGCGGGAGAGGTAAGGATAAGGAGTGTATATGAGGGTATTACACGGGTTCCTTCCACACCCCCCGTCCCGAATCCCGCCCGGTAAGGCAGGACTCGGGAACAGAGGATAGGAATCCGCAACCTCTGAACTCCTTTAGTCCTTAAGTCAGAAAGGCAGCTGAGGCTTAAAAACAGCGAAGCCACAGCTGCAAAGTGAGGTAAGAAGAGATACCCTAAGTCCCCCCTTCTTCCCCAGGCGCACTTTGGCGCCCCCTCGGTGCGCCCCCCAAAACGCTTCGGCACTCGAGGGAGGGGAAGAATGAGACAAGGGTAGGCGGAGAAAGTAGATCTGAGCATTAAGGCAACATGCAATCTGCCTCGCAAGATTTGCGAGGCAGGTGTTGCCACCAGCAAGCAGATTATTCTCGACGCAATATTGTTCAAATTGGTAAAATATGCATGCGAAGATCGCGTTGGCGAACACAATCTTGAAATGAAACACAGGTCTGCCTAAAAAATCAATGTATACTAAGATCGCGCTGACGAACACGATTCTGAAAAGAAACGCAAATCTGTGTAAAGCAAGTGTCTGGCCAGACAAAATGTCGTGTTGATGAACACGAAAAGAGATGTATAAAAATCTGTTTGGCGACTCCCGTTGGCGTTGCTCCTTAGGAGGCTGCCTCGGTGATCGCAAAAGGCATATATATGTGTGTGCGGCCACTTGTTGGAATGATTGGAGTGGCCTAAAAGAATATATTAGCCACCGCTCAAGGCGAACTTTGATGAAAGGAAGTTCTGCTCTTGAGCAGTGGGCCTTGCGGCCGACCCCTACGCGTCGCCGTCCTTGTAGAACCTGCGGTCCCACACCCTCTGGCCGTTGTACGTCACGTAGCTTGTCGTAAACGTTTCCCAAGTTGTCCTCGGGATCCAGTTGCGGAACCAATCGTTGTACGTGATATCCTGGATGTACACATACTCGTCGTTGTTGATCGCAATGTAGATCCAACATTTGATGTAGTAACTCCAGTATCGAAGACCCCAATCGCTCTCCTCGAGATTGTGCCGCCAGTAAGCAGCGTAATCAGATGTACGTGCTCTCTTGGCGCGCGGCATCGCGGGCACGTAGTCCTCCGCGCCTGAGGCGCTGGATGCAGCGGCGTCGCCAGGAGCAGGGCGCGGCGGCGGGCGCGGCGGCGGCCGCGGCTCCATGGCGTCATCGGACTGTTGGGAGTGTGTATCTGGATCGGTTCTCATCCCTGTACTACCCCCCCTCTGGTCGGTGTGTGACGGATCGAGGGAGCCTATCAGTTCGTTGGCAATCGCGGCAAGCTTGCGCTGGGTGAACTGTTCACGGGTTCCGTCCCTTCGAGGGAGAGAAACCGTAACCAGTCCGCGCGCCTGCCGCGTCTGCCTGTCAATGCGTCCCTCGTTCAGCCACCACTTTCTCCGACCAGCCTGTCCTGTCCTAATGCTGACGTCAAGGATGTCCCACGCGTCGCGCATGTCCTCGACGGTCCAGGGCTTCTTGCCGACATTCACGCGGGCACCTGTCATCTGATGATGGAACTTGAGGTCGTTGAGAAAGCGTTGTATGAGATTGGCGAATGGGTAGTACAGAGGTCGGTCGCCCTCGGATTCGCCCATTAATCTGCATTCGTGTGCAGGCGGGCCACCGGCTTCGACCCACTTCTGATACCTCTTCTTGGACGCATTGGCCAATCTCCGCAACCGTGGGCCACTCTCTTGGCCAAATTTCATGGCGCCTCTCCCCCTCCCTCTCTCTCTCTCTCTCTCGTTCTCTCTGTATATCTTTCTCTCTCTTCTATTCCGTGCTCCGTATATCCATCTCTCTCTCTCCCTCTCTCTCTCTCTCTCTCTCTCTCTCTCTCGGCCGCTGACGATTATTTTTTATCCGCGGTCCTCGCCAGACAGGTTCCCCCCCCCTGTCCTCTCGGCCGATGGCGATTATTTACACATGCGGCCCCCTCTAGCGCACAGGCAGGTTCTCACCAGACGTGGCCCTTCAACCTGGCCATGGCGACGGCCGAGCCGAGCTCGAGAAACATATCTGGACAGCTGGCGCGCCTGTAGCGCCACGCCCAGAAGTGCACCCAGTTCTCGAGCTGCGCCTGCGACTCCTTGCTGTACGTGTTCATCGTGGTTGGGACGACGTTCTTCACGTGCGACCACAGCCCGTCCTGGAGCTGCGTCCCGCCGTAGCAGCACAGGACGTCGCCCCCGCTCAGGGTCAGCGTCTTGACAGTCGCCCAGATGCGCTTGGCGTGCTTGACCTTCGTGTGGTTCTCGAGGCGGCGGTAGCACCGCGCTCCGTCTGTGTGCCAGATCAGCACGTCGGCCCCCGTGTGAGCTGAGATCAGCGGCGCGGTCTCATCCGTGCTCTCGGGGCGCGTCGGGCCGCCACGGACCGCATAGAAGGGCGGCAGCATGTGCACGACGGCGTGTTCGTGGTCTCCGCGCTTGCACATGCCGAACACGCGGATGTGCATGTTGCGCCCGTTCTTGAGCTGGACGACCCGCAGGGTCGTGGCGTCGGTCTCGCACTGGCCGCTCAGCACGATCGACTTCTGCTCTTCCCTCGAAGCAGCCGAGACGATCTCCAGCAAACTCTGCCTGACCGCCTCGCACTGCTTGTGGCCCATCTTGGCAATCAGCGCCATGTCGGCTGTACTCATGCGGGACGTCAGGGCGCCGCACGACAGGAAGGCGACGCCCGCCAGCTTCGGGAGAGGCACTTCCACATCCGCCCACGTGCCGCTCGTGACCTTCACCTGCACCGAGGACGACGAGCAGGCCTTGCGCTGACACCTCTGGACTGGATGCCGCTTCTCGCCCCTGTGAATCACCGAACCCAATGGCCATCCGCACCTGGGGCAAACGTTCTCGGAGGGGTCGCCGAGGTACCCCGCCTGGACCATCAAGTCGTAAGCATCCTTGGTCTTCAGAGCCCTGAGGTCCTCGTACGTGTAGATCTTGGCTAAGGAAGACCTGCCGCGCCGCACGCGGGACACCCGCTGGCGCTTGGGCGTGTAGAACACGCCCGTGGCTTCCAAGCGCTTGCGTTTGGCCTGGGCCGCCTTGCGCGCCTTCCGCGCCTTGGCCAAAATGTCGCGGCGGCGCGAGGCGGCCTGCACCGACCGCTTGTTGCGACGCTTCTGGGGGAAGCGCTGCCCTCGCGTGCGGCTTCGACCCCTGGCCTCGGAGGCGGCGGGGCGACGGTGGACGGTCATCCCTGGCTCCAGGCGCGATAGCACGGGCGAGGCAGTGCGCGAGAGGCGCGGGCACCCGCGGCTCTGGCTGCCGATTCGGCCAAGAAACGGCTGCGGCGATGACAGCAACCATACCGGATGGACGGCGATGGCGGCGGCGGCGGCGACGACGACGACGTCTGCGGGGGCGGCTGGATTTCTTAGAACGGCAAAAGAAAATGGCATGATAACGCGCGGTACTTGTGGATAACCCTATCAAGACACAACATGTTGGCGGCGCGCGCCCCCAGCTCATCTGGGGCGCAGCGGCGCGCGCCACCTCGGCAGCGCGCGCGGCATCAGCGCCCGAGCTGAGGGTGCCATCGCTGCCCGCGAAACCCGCGCGCCGCACCTGCCCGCCCGCGCTCTCGCGGCCGCCCGCTCACTCCTGACTCTGAGAACCGAGGAAAGCGTGCGCCTCGTCCTCCTCCGCAGCCGAGGGCATCGCAGGCACAGCGGGCGCCCCCTCCTCGGCCAGCATCTGCGAGAGCTGGACCTCGAGATCGTCGCGGGGCGGGGCCGCGGGCCCAGATGCAGTGGACGACGCCGCGGCATGTTGCTTGGCGGGGGACGGGCTGTCGACATTGAGCGTCATCCCCGAGAGCAGGCGCTTCCGAAACGTCAGGCGCTCAGGGGACACGCGCTCTCGCTTCACCTGTCGGGAGGGGCTCAAAGATGATGTCCGCCAAGGCCGAGGCAGCGTTTCAGCGTTCAGAACGCGTTGAAGTGCTCCCTCAGCCCTAGGACCCCACCCCGCAGGGCCGCATCTTTGAACCCCCAAACCTGGACGAACGACGGGGCTGGCAAAGAACCGAGGGCCGCGTCTGAGGACTTCTTGCGGTTCTTCTCCACGGCGGAGTCCACGAGGAGCCGCTCCTTCTCCAAGAGCTGCTGGATATTGGCGGGCGGGGTCATGTCGCCGTCCTTCTGCAGTAGGTACAGGCGCTTCCCCTCGGCCGTCAGGAAGGTCTCGCCCTTGAAGTTAATGCGCGGAACATCTTTCTCCTCAGTGCCTGCTGGGCGCCAGTAGAGGTATTCCTGGGTATTCACCAGAAACGCAGAACGCTTGAAGAAAGCCAGCATGCATGCGCGGGTCGCCTTCTCGGAGAAGGCAGGGCGCACGAGCTCGAAGAATTCCTGGAACTTCACGGAGGGCCAGCGGTCCAGCTTCTCGGCATTCGGATCGTAAGTCTGGTCCGCCAAGCACCGAGGCTCCCCCTTCTTCCATTTCGTTGCGCCCCACCTGGCCCAGCACATGCTCTCGTACTGGCCGACGTCGAGCAAGGCCTTCACCATCTTGGGCGGGAGGAGATTCAAGCAGCCATCGTCCACAAAGTCCCCCATGAGAATGTCGCCGGGCTCGCCTCGCAAGAAATCGATCTCAGGCGTGACGCGGATGCAACAACCCGCGGGGTCCAATCCGTGGACCCGCGCGTTCCTGCGGCACATTGCCATCAGGAATGCGCGCCCGAGCGGCGTCTTGCCGATGTTGGGCTCCCCAATGAGGACAAGCGAATCGTTGCTGTTGATCAGCTCCTGCATGGCTTCGAGAACGCGAAGGTTGAAGTGGTCCTCGCAGAGGATCACGTTGTTTTCGAACTCCTTCTTTGCAAGCGCGCCCTCCGCCGCGAGCCCGCTCAACGCCTTCGCCACCAGGGGGACGGGCCAGCCGTAGAGGGGGGCGCCTTTGCGTGGCGCCTTCGTCTGCCATACCAGCTGCTTGAGCTCGGCCGTGGAGCGAGGCGCGTTCTTCAGGATGTATTCGAAGCCAGCGTTTATATCCTCGTCCGAGAGCTCGTAGAACTCGTTCACCTTGGTGGCCGTCTTGACGTCTGGCGATAAGAAGAAAGCCCGACACTGTTTGCCTCCGAACCGCTCGAAGGCGTATTGCCAGACCTTGACCCCCACCTGGCGGCGCGATCGAAAAAACAAAATGGCGAGGGCGCCGCGCCCTCGCCACCCTTTTGTTTCCCCAATCGTGCACCTTGGGATGCTGGAAGCAGAGCTTCTTGACGCTCCCGAAAGCCATGCTGGCGAAGACGGCCGTCTTCGCCTTGTTGGGGATGACGCAGTGTTTGATTATGGTCTTCGTGCCGTCGGGGGCGTCAAGGATACAAATCTGCAGCGTCATGTGGTGTTGCGGCGCCGTCTTGAACCCGAACGGTGGCGGCAGATTGTGGTAGCTGTCGTCCTTCCAGGCCGCCTTGTATTGCTCGTCGAGCTCGGGGGGGACTGGGTCTCTATGCCCCGTGATGAAATCAATGTAGTGCACCAGTGGGTTCTCGTTGGCCCCGATGTCGTCCGTGAGTTCGAGAAAAGGCTCGATTTCTCCACGGGGCAGCACGCCCGTTACCATTGGTGCAGGAAGAGGGCGGCAATACCAGCCCTCGGTCGCCGATTTCAGGTCCTCGTAAGCGGCCATGCCGCGGTCTTGAATGACGCTGAGGGTTTGCCAGAAGGCGCACGCTCGGCGTTGCGATTGGGCCCAAACAGCTACGAGCAGCGAGGGGGGTCAGGAAACGCTGGGTTCCTCCAAGATTCCTGGATTCCTGGATTACTCCTGTGTTCCTGGGTTTCTCCTGGGTTCCTGGGTTCCTGGGTTCCTCCTGGGTTCCTAGGTTCCTGGGTTCCTCGGTTCCTCCTGGGTTCCTGGATTCCTCCTGGGTTCCTGGGTTCCTCCTGGGTTCCTGGGTTCCTCCTGCGTTTCTCTTGGTTTCTTGGGTTCCTCCAAGGTTCCTGGATTCCTGGGTTCCTCCTGTGTTCCTGGATTTCTCCTGGGTTCCTGGGTTCCTCCTGGGTTCCTGGGTTCCTTGGTTCCTCCTGGGTTCCTGGGTTCCTCCTGGGTTCCTGGGTTCCTCCTGGGTTCCTGGGTTCCTCCTGGGTTTCTTTTGGTTTCCTGGGTTCCTCCAAGGTTCCTGGGTTCCTGGGTTCCTCCTGTGTTCCTGGATTTCTCCTGGGTTCCTGGGTTCCTCCTGGGTTCCTGGGTTCCTCGGTTCCTCCTGGGTTCCTAGGTTCCTCTTGGGATCCTGGGTTTCTCTTCCGCCTCCTCCCAAGCCCCTTGCTGGCTACCGAAAGGTACCCGAAGACGGCCGAAGAGCACCCGCAGTGCTCCCGCACGGCTCCCGAAAAACACCCGGAGGGCACCCGCAAGGCACCCGAAAGGCACCCGAAGGGCACCCGCAAGGCACCCGAAAGGCACCCATCCTCAGAATTCGGGGGTCGACGCCGATAGTAAAAATGCACAACGTCATAATGATTATGATACTTCTTCAAATCTGATTTTTGCACTTAACGAGAAATGCTTCGCTTTCCGTTCATATGCAACGGCAACAACAAAAAAAAACCCCAAAAAAAAAATCTCGAGCGTTTCCCCCTTCTGAATGGTATATTTGGGGAGTTGCGCGGCACGTGTATACTCGCAATGCACTCCGCTAATTGCTAAGGCACCCGCAAGGCACCCGCAAGGCACCCGAAAGGCACCCATCCTCAGCAACCAGCTGGGCCTTGAGTCTGCTGCCGTCGCGGGAAGGGGATGGCGGGCACGAAAAGAGGGTAACCAGAAAACTTGGTTGAGGGAGAGAGAGGTGAGGAGAGGGGAGGGGCATCGAAGGGACATTGAATTTGCGATGCCCCTGGGTTCCCTCCTGGGTCTCCTCCAGGGGTCTCCTGGGGCCTCTCTGGGGCCTCTCTGGGGCCTCCTGGGGCCTCCTGGAGCCGCCCGCTCCCCAGGGGGAGGGGTGGCGGAAGCGAAAAACCAAAAAAAACACAAGGAAAAACCAAAAAAACCAAAGAAACCAAACACCAACAGCCGAAAAACCAAAAAAACACAAGGAAAAACCAAAAAAAACAAAAAAAACAAAGATTTCGATACTTCGTCCACCCCCACCGCCCTGACAGCGAAAGTGTTGTAAACTTTGTTTTTTTTGTTTTTTTTGGTTTTTCCTTGTGTTTTTTTGGTTTTTCGGCTGTTGGTGTTTGGTTTCTTTGGTTTTTTTGGTTTTTCCTTGTGTTTTTTTGGTTTTTCGCTTCCCACATCCCTGTGTGGCGCTTTCCAATCGAATCCCTTTGTTGCGGTTTCCAAAGGATTCCTGCTGTGAGGCGTTCCACTGGAATCCCTTTGGAATGTTTTCCAAAGGGGTCCTGTTGCGAGGATGGGAGGGAAGAGTGCGATTGCAACGCTATGCGTCTGCAATGCAATGCAATGCAAACAAAGAGGAGGACATGCATGCAGACAAACAGGAGGAGCAGGAGCAAGAGCAACCCACCATGAAATTTGGCCAAGAGAGTGGCCCACGGGAGTCCCATGCCTGATCTTTCTCTGTGCCTATGTGCGATCGCGCACCCGTCATAATGACGTGTGCGCCATCCTTCATGTATCTCGCGATCTGGTCCTCGGACAACGTCGTTTTGATCCAGTTCGTCAACTTCTGCAGGTACGCGAGATCGCTCTGTGTGGCGGTGCTCTTACCTGTGGCGCCTACGGCCACAGTGTATTGCCAACATATATCACAGAGTGTGCCGTCACCTGTGACAATCCCGAGGGACAGATCTCGACCGCAATTGTGACAGAGCGGTATGGGATGCAAGATCGTCTCGGGGGCCCCAGCCGAAGTCAGGTGATCGCGGGATCCCCAGCGGGTGTCCTGACCGCGAGCGAGGCTCTGACCGATCTGATTGATCGCCTCACGATTGATCTCGGTGTTCGGTCTGGAAGCGATCGATCTGCTTAAACCCTCGATCTCGATCCGAGACAACCTTTCCCCTGGCAGTCCTTTGTACTCTATCTTGACGTTGTCGGTATCCTCAGTACCGCCATGGCATGCGTTCTCCTCACGAAGACGGCGAGCCTGCTTCTGCAGGGTAGCCTCGTTGTCGCCCTCCTCGCGCTTGAGTCCCGTCTGCTCGGCTATGATACGTGCCATCGTTTCCTGATCGGGAGCTGCAGACGCAACACTGCCTGGATCCTGGGGAATATCCTGCTCAGCGCCTTGCTCTCGAGGCGCAGCAGGTGTTTCCACCAGCTCTTCCCAAACAGGAAAATCTGGATTACCGTATGTCACAGTACAATTTTTGAATAGGTCACGCAATGCCTGAAGTGCAGGATGGTTGGCATGGATGACTTCCTTGGCGAAATCTGGTAGTTCCACAATACTATCTTTCAAGATGTTCTGGTATACTTTGGAAATCCATTGAAAGATGCCTGTGGTCGACTCCTCGATAGTCTCTGGGTCGAGGTAGTGTACCAACTTTTTGAAGAAATGATCTGCACCACAATTGGGTAAGTCACGTGCCCACTTGTGGGTATGATTGTAGTTGAATTGGTATGACTCCGCATTCCATGCTTTCGATCCAAATCGAATTTCAAATTGTAAATGTGACTGAATTTTGTCCATTACGATTCTGTCTGCGCCACTGTGTAGCTCGATGATCTGCTTCATCTTGATCATAGGCGAATCCACCAATAACGCCGATGTCCCACAATACACGCGGCAATCATCAGACTGTCTAATCCATCTTGAATCCTCGTCGGGGTCGTAATCTGGATGGCCAAGGAAATTCGATGGCGGATCAATGATGTTATCGAGGATGCTTGCCTCGATCTGCTCTTCTGCTTGGATGTCTGCCGAGAGATCTGCTCTCATGTTGTCGTTCGCAGCTTTCTCATCGGCAGTAAGAGCGATATTTGATACGCCCACGATTACGGTGATCAGTGGATCATGCGATGATGCTGTACCCTGTCGAGGAATTTCGCCCGTCTGAGCGTTGTCCTCGGCGGGTGTGGCCACCAGCTCGTCTGGATCAGGTGTCCGTGGAGCGGGCCTTCTTGGTGGTGTACGCGGAATACGTGGTCTATGGATGCTAGGCATTCCAAGGTATGGTAAGCTGCCGCTAACCTTGTGCTGCAGTATCTCCTCGCTGCATGATGTCGGGCCTTTCAGGACAGTCTCCATCCATGTTGGATCGATGGCGTGTTCTTCGATACGAATCGGCAATGCAAATGCGACGCCCTTGAGGGGCATGCTTTTGTCATTATACCAGACATTTACCCATCGTAAACCGTAGTTGAGAATAGGTACTTGTACCGCAAAGAACTTGTCGAAGATGCCGAAATGGATGATTGGACCATATATGTGTCCCTTGGACAAGGCAATCTTGGTATTGTGATTGCCTTTGGGCCAGTGGCTGTCGTAGTGGAAGCATTTGGTGGAACCCCAATTCTTAATGACAATGAAGTCGCCCATTCGAACATCGTTAAATGCAGGACGACGATCCCAATCTTTTTGCAGGATCTTTGATGTGATTGGTCGAAGAGCTTCGCGACAATGTGACAATGCAATTAACCATTCTTTATCATCTGCTTTGTGGTTGGTCTCCTGAATCATAGCGCGTACTATTTGCTCATCCAAGGCGTCCTCTGCGGATGTACGGCCAGCAGGGGTTTCCCCCGGCCTGGCCGAGGGTGCTGATGCTGGCGTCGTCCTTGGAGGCTCCATGTTGTGGTCGGGGTCGATAGGTGCCAATCCAGGTGGGTCGTCAATAAGTTCCCCAGGGAGGCAGGCGCAAATCTCGTATTTGCTCAATGGCTCTCTGGCTGCCAATGGCGGGTAGTCCCATGGGTCGCCATCTGGCCACAACTGCTGGCCATGCATGTGGTGTGGTTTGAGGCGGCGAATTGCAATAATTGCCGCAGCGGGTACCACGTCCTCAGTCATGATAGCGCCCTGAGCACCCAACCAAAATCTGCAACCTGCTTTTGTGGCGATTTCCATGTTAATCACCAGCTCGACTTCGTTCTTGTAGCTGTTGAACTTGTACGATTCCACTGAAGTATGTGGGTTCTTTTGAACATTGTTCAAATATGTGCTAGAACTGAAGAATGCCTCAGATCGCTGCGATGGTTTGTAATTTCTGTCTCTCTGAGAATGTGGTTCAACATGTCCAGGAATGATCCCTGTCTTCAATATGTTCTTCCAGGCACGGGATGCTGTTCCATGATGGAGATACTTGACATCTGTCCACTGTAGACTTTCCCATCCCATATTCCGTGGCTTGGAAGATGGGTTGACACAACTGTGACCACCAACGCACCGAATGGCAATGACGCTGTTCCAGTCAAAAGCGCTGGGGTCACCTCCTTCAGGGATCGGCTTGGCATATATCTCGATTCTGTTTTTTTTTCTGCGGGTCAATATGCTTCTGGAACGCCCGAATCATGAATATCGGATAGTAGTCGTTCCAATCGGTGTATCCATCATTTTCACCGTCTTTCTTGAAGTGTGCCACTGCCGCTTCCATGGATGGTCCATTGTGTCTTTCTTTGAGATCTCGGAATTTCCATTCGACCATTTCTTTAAAAGATTTCCAATTGCTTGGAATCTTCCACTCATTCTTTGTTGTTTTCTCCAAGATATTAGTACGTCTGTCATGAAATTGGTTGACC